GTGTAATGATGAATACCTTAACACCATACTGCAACCACCATATATTACACACCCAAAATTAGTCAATTTTCCATTAAGTTCACCCAAGAAAAAGGCAAAAAACAAAGGTGTTGCAATAAACAAACATTAGTGGATAGAACTATGTATTGTGATAATTCAAATATTATCCCAGGACTGGAAAAGAGCTCATAAGCAACACAGTGACAATTCTACTATGTAAATCAATTATATGACTATAAGATTGGGTAAGAAATTTTTATCCTAGTTTGTAAGCACAATAAGTAACTAATTGCAAATCTTTTATACACAACCTAGAATACAAATCTAAACCAAACTTGTTAACATATGTCCCAAAAAGCTTATCCTAGTTACTAAGGTCTTCTCACAGTACTCGTTCACCTTAACTTCATATGAGCTTTCAGTAGGTTATCATATAAGTTTAAATATAAGATAACATTAACCAATTACCACCTTAAGTTTAGGAAAAATTATTCAATTACCCTAGAAATAATGAATAGGAAACTCCAATCTGAGGGATCGACGATCATTGATGCTCTTGAAGTGAGACACGATTACAATCCACTACAGTTACCTTATGTGGCCATTGTCACATTGACCTAAAAATGGTCACTATAATTACTATAATCTATTAAAGTGATTATAACTACTAAATGCTCATAAAAGCTTTTTAGGATTTCAGCAGAGGTCGTCAATGGCGAAACTGCGGTACTGCAAGGCTACAAGCCTAGAATCGATGGTGGAGGTGCGGCCATAGTAGAGGAAAGAATCACGGAAGATGAATTGCAATGAAAGATTGCAAGTGCAGAGGATATGAGTCGCACATCTGGGATAGGTTAATTAGAGGTAAAAGTGTAATCTTTAGTCCTATTTAGAGAATTTAAAACAATAAGTCCTATTTTTGCAATTCCACCTTCTTTTAGTCTTATTTAGGGAATTCTCTATATATTTATTTATCACCATACTCCATATAACTGAACGTAAGGAAGTTACTGGCATAATGGCTTGACATGGGATATTATTACCGCTATTGCACAGAGTAATATGTATATTTCGTATATGTATGTATGTATATTTGTGTATATATAAATATACATACATACATATATATATATATATATATATATATATATATGTTAATTTATAATTGTAACAAATTAATGTAGCACTAGTTAACTATGAGTAATAAGTATAAACTATAAAGTATATACTAGTCTTTTTTTTAAAACGAAACTGGCTTAAATAATGATAACAGAACGTAAGCAGGTTACAAAATGACAACAAGCCTTGTGTCTGTTGTCCGTCCTAGAACCAGACTTATAATCGATCACATCCGTAGTAGCAATGCGATTCGATGATCCCGCTTTGGGCTTAACTGAGCCAATGACGTGCAAACCAGACTCCTCATCACATGTCCTAAGTTTTAGAGTTTTTTTGCTAGAAAAGCACAACACAACCTCTTAGGTCCCCTAGATTTTGATGACTAAAGTTTTAGAGTTTTTTTGCTAGAAAACCAGACTCCTCATCACATGTCCTAAGTTTTAGACTTCTGTTGCATATTTCAATATCTCCCAAAAGATATTGGAACACATTCAGTTAGAGGAAAAAGGGGCTGAAAAAGAAAAGATTTTAAAAGTCTATTCACCCCCAGACTTTTACCTCACTTGGGACTCAGTTGGTATCTAGGGCACTCATCACAACCAAAACATAGTACAGATCCAAATAAAAACGAAGCATGAAGAAAAACTAAATAAGGAAAATAAATTTCTTGAACCCTAGCACCCCGTTCAACCCCTGGCGGTGGTTCAAGAGGAGGCCAAACCATTGCTATGATTGTTGACGCGGACAAGACACGGCTCCAAACCCTAGCGCAGAAGGCTCTACTTCCGTTCGTCGAGCGGTTGATTTCCCGATGAACAACCTTGATCTTCCCCGCCTCATTGAAACGCCCATGAAATCTTGCGTCAAGGAAGCACATGAGGCCGCCCGTCCCCTGCCAGGCTCCCTCCGTCCTGTCAGCCCCTTCACCCTCATTGTCAATCACCAATTCGTCCGGCGCTTCACCAATATCCAGGCTATCATAGTAGACAATCAAATTATCCACCGGACTAGGAATCTTTGACATCTCATCTGCTTCAGCACTTGTCTACCGCAAACCTTCTTCCATCACCGAGAGAAGCACAAATCCGCGATCAATCTTACCACCAATGAAACAAAAAGTTTGGTCTCGTAGTCGTCCTATCTACTGGAAAGCAGCCGCACTCATTGACGGAAAAAGCTAAACCCTAAGGCTCTGTTTGCAAACACAACTAAAAAAGCACTTCCCAACTTTTGACTTAAAAAAGCTAAAAAAGATGTTTTCAAATGACAACTTCTACTTAAATGAATTATTTAAAAGCTAAAAGCTAGAATCTGCTTTTTACTTTTTCTATTACACAAAAAGCACTTATTTTACCAAACACCACCAACTTTTACTTTTCAAAATCACTTTTTTCTCAAACACTACCAACTTTTACTATTAATCACTTTTTTACCAAATCATTTAAAAAAGTTAAAAGCACTTTTTTGTTGGGTTTGCAAACAGAGCCTAAGACTCTCCGCAACCACCATCCGTCAGTAACGTAAATTTCCAACCGCTTTATACCAAATTTACGTATTCACTTTGTCCATTCAATTTTTCTCTGCAATCCAACACTGTTAATATATTCATCTAAAATAATTTTTTAATTATATCATTGCTTTTACATATGATATATGGATCTCATATGAAAGATCATTAAAAAAATATGAATTTTGATATAATTTTTATAAAAACGGGAATACAAATAAAAAAGTTATATCACTTTTAAAAAATATTCATTTTTTATCATTAGCTACTTTTTGTCTATCACCTACTTTTTGTCCATCTCCCCCAGGGGTGGGCAAAAATACCGGAAAATCTATATACCGCACTTACCGTACCGAAAGATACCAAAAAAATACCGGAATATTAGTATACCATCATTTTCGGTACAGTATCATATCTTACCGATTTATTTTGGTACGATAACAGTAATTGTTTTCAAATACCGTGGTATACCGGTATATTACCGTACCGACTTCCTACCCAACAATTACTTTTAATTCTAAAATATTGTAAAAGTCCACTACAATTTTGAAGCCCAAAATTAATACTTAGGTTGGTTACAAATACCAAAATACAAAAATAAAAGCCCAATTTCCCAAATTCACTATAACTTTTTAGGCTTCTACTACATAACATTCAAACAAACTAACCCTAATGACTAATGAGTAATGTACTAATGTCAAGAAACAAGTCCATCTTGTTCCAAGAGTTTGCGAGTCGCGATGGCTGAGCCACTGAGTAGCTGACGAGTGAAGAATGGCGATGAATACTCTTATGTGACGAGTGTATCTACATAGGGATTCCACGAGTCAAGCCACACGACTTTGTCCGAAAGTCTTATTCAAATATTTTTTAAAAAAATTATAAAAATGATTAAATACACAATATCATATTAGGAATAAATGGTTTTATATTTATGTTGTTTGAATAATTTTATTTATGTTAGAGATCACTATTGATTTAATTATATCTATATTGTTCAAGTTATTTTAGGAGAATGTTTTATTTTTTAATGCGCGGGATGTTGAACTGCTTAAATATACTAATAATAATTATTGTTCAATACTCCGTATTGAATATGACATAAATAGATTATTAATTGTATTTTGTAACATTTTAATAATCGATTAAATATGTCGCTAGTAACACCGATTTAGTATATTTCGTTAGTCCTTTGATAATTTGTTGTATTGGGATACATGCATGACAATTTACCGATATCATACCGTTACCGAACCGAAACTTTGGTAAGGTAACAATATATAAATTTTGTATACCAAAAGTTTTGGTATGACAAAGATATGAGAGAAAATATTCAATATACCGTACCGAATTAGCCCTAATCTCTCCACACGTTTTTTTTTTCTCCTTGGGTGAAAAGTGGGTTGATTATTCTCTACTCAAGGCTGTCACAGACTCATTACCCCTCTTCAAATATCAAGATTGTATAAAATATTGGGGTGATTGCGTAAAGCAAACAAATATATCTTTTCCACCCCTGCGTTGCAAATGGTGTAAGAAGGGAGATGTCCGCTCTAACGTGTATAAGAGCATCTCCAATGCTACAATGTGCACGGTGCACATGTGGCATGAGAGATAGTCACATAAATATCAGCAGATAAATTATCTCTCTCCTTACTTGAGTGATTTTATACAATTTTGATAAATTTTTCTCTGCAATGTCAACCACAATGTCAATATCTCGATGGTCTCCTTGATATTATAGAGAAAAACTTACCAAAATTGTATAAAATCATTTAAATAAAGAGAGAGATAATTTATTTGATAATAGTTATGTGGCTATTTCTCATGTCACATTGCACCGTGCACATTGTAGCATTTGAGATGGTCTAAATATATACTAGTACTAGTCTTAATAATAAAGTAATGTAAGTATAATTAATGTTAGTATAAACTATAAAGTAGAGTTTTTGCCACTTTTGGTCCTCCGACTTTTATGTCATTGATATTTTTGATACTCGACTTTGATCTTTTCCACTTTTAGTGTTCGACTATTGCGTTAGAGACACTTTTGGTATTCGTCTTTAAAAATTTCCATATTTAGTCCTCCGACTTTCACAAAAGTGACACTTTTAGTTCTTCAACTATTAATATAATGACATTTTTAGTCATTCACTTATTGTGTCAAAATGATAATGGAAGGATTAAAAGTGTCAATTTGGTAATACATAGGGGACTAAGTATGAGAAACTTTGAAGTCGATGAGTATCCCTAGCACAATAGTCGAGGACTAAAATTGAAAAAATTAAAAGTCGAGTAACAAAGTTTCAAATAACGAGGACGGAAAAAGGAAAAAACTCCTATAAAGTACTTAGTATATACTGCGTATATACGTAGTATATACTACCTTTCTTCACCAATTATGAAAGCTCTCCTCCTCCAACATATCGCCATCTTCAACCTCCAATCTTCAAATCAAATGAAATATTTCGTTCACCTAACAATTGTTTCCTTATTTGTAGAATAGGGACGATCCGGCTGGCCATCTTAGTTAGATGGGTTATCTTTCATGTACAGCCGATTCAGCAGTTTCGATCTCAGATTCCAAAAAGAAGAAGACCACTCTTCACAAGAAGAACAAAATCAGCAGTCACGAAGATTCACAGAAGCCCCTCTATTTCATTCAGCAATTCAGCTACAGCGATCTCGAAGCCGCCACCAATGGCTTCTCCGAAAAGAAGCTCCTTGGTAGGGGCAGCCATGGCCTCGTCTACAAAGGCGTCCTCCCCGGCGGCCGTTTAGTAGCCGTCAAGAAATCTTCCAGGCCTTCCACTCCGAGGAGGCTTTCTTCTTCGTCTTCATCATCATCCTCAAACACCAACGAAGTTGAGAACGAAATCGATATCCTGTCCAGATTACAAAGCCCAAGATTGGTAAATCTCCTTGGTTTCACCACTGGTGACACTCAGGAACGCCTTCTGGTTGTGGAGTTTATGTCCAATGGGACTCTATATGATGCCCTACACACCTACCCTCGTCCGCCAAGTTGGGGCCGAAGGGTCAAGATGGCTCTGCAAACCGCAAAAGCCATCCACACCCTTCATACCTTGACCCCTCCGGTTATCCATCGCGACATTAAGTCCGCGAACGTGTTGATAGACCGAAACTCCAATGCCCGATTGGGCGATTTCGGGTTGGCCCTGAGATGCCACAATGATGACTATAGGCTTAGGTCTACCCCGCCAGCAGGCACAATGGGTTATCTTGATCCGGGCTATGTGACCCCTGATAATTTAAGCACAAAGACTGATGTTTTCAGCTTCGGGATATTGCTGTTGGAGATGATTAGTGGGAGGAAGGCGATCGATGTGGCTTACTCCCCCCCTTATATTGTTGAATGGGCCGTCCCTTTGGTTAGGAGAGGGAAGCTGTTGGCACTGTATGACCCTAGGATCCAACCTCCCAAAGATCCCATGGTAAGGAAGCAATTGGCGGTCGTGGCTACAAAATGTGTTAGGTCTTGTAGGGAAAGGAGGCCAAGTATGGAGGAGGTTGTGGAATGTTTGAGCGAGTTGAGTAAGTCAGTCCCACTTCATTCCTGGAATGGTCTTACCAATCCGTGTTTGTTGGCTGAAACTGTAGGGGAGAGGCTGCCCATTGAGGGGTCACGAAATGGATCGCCTGTGTCTGGTGAAGATTGGAGCTTTAATGCTAAGAAAGTCACATATAAGCCGTTGTGGGGTTCACGGAGAGTTTATTCCGATTTGGGATCTCGGAACAATTTGATGGATTTAATGGCAGGAAGTGAAACTGGCCAGCCCGGTGATCAATGATCTAACTTCTTGTGGCTATTTATTTGTAGTGATCATATTGTTCTAGTTAGATTGTTATTGCAACTATTTGAACTCTTGTTTGCTCATTTTCAGATTGTATTATCTGTTCGTTGGGCTACATTAATAAACATAAATAGTGTTTTGTGTTAAAAACAGTACATACTATAGTTATAATAAGTTAATGTAATTATATATAATTAATGTAAGTAATAAGATATACACACACACACACACACATAAATGGGAGGGTTTAAATGCAAAGAGGTCTTCCCATGCAAAGTGAGAATAAATCTTGTGCATTCATTTCCATATCTAATGGCTCAAAAAGAGTCATCAATGTACTAGATTTGATCTTTTGGAGCTTTTGAAAGCAAAGGATAAGCAAAAAGATTAGTGCTTTAACACCCATTCCTTCAATTCTTCTTGGAGATGCTCTAAGTATATGATCTTTTTCTTTTGAAAACAAAGGATAAGCACCCATTTTCTGCCAAGCTAATAGATTCTTAAGGCTTCCAGCAGAAAATGCATTCAAAGATTTTCACCAAATTTATGGTTTTCAAATAGAGAACTACCTGCTGGAGCTTTTGAAAGCAAAGGATAACCAAAAAGATTAGTGCTTTAACACCCATTCCTTCAATTCTTCTTTTAAAAGTGAGACTTTCACCCCCTTCCCCCTTTATTTTTTTTCCATGCAGGTGTTTATATCTTGTTCTTTTTGTTTTTTGGCTACCTGTCCTAAATTTGGAATTACTTTTTCAAGAATTCAACTTGCTTAGCAAATTTGGCTTTGATACAGGCATCCAGCCCTTATTCTGACTTTCTTGAATATATGTCTTCTTTATATGCCATGTATCTGACCAATATTAGGCTTTATAGATTCATAACCTCTTGGATTTTATTTTGTAATGTTAAAAAAAGTGTTTTTTACTTTTTTGCAACTATCTTGTCAAAAGGTTCAACTTAAAATGATGAAGAATTCAGTGTCAGACAACAGCTTCTACATAGACAGTGAGGATGAGGTGAGAGAGGATGGGAAATGTGAAGTTGGCAATGAATCTGATGTTTTTTCAAATTACTGCAATGATAATGATGTTTATGATCACCACCAGAGCAAACCCCCTTCAACAATGCTTGGCCTCAAAGTTACAGGTCAGATTTTCCGCGTGATCTTTGGCTATGTTTGGATCCTATGGAAAATAGTAGGGAAATGGAAAAAGATGCCAACCGAACTGTTTTCTGAGTTTGGACTTATCATAGTAAATGCAGATAAAAATAAAACATGATTACTGTTTTTAGTTTTTTGCATATGTTTAGATTGCTTAGTCATTATAATAAGAGAAATAAACAATTAAAAATGAATTTGAATAAATATTTTAAAAAAAGTTGAAGCAATGTTTTAATTTCCTGAACAATTTTTTGCTTCCATATTGCTATGATATTTTCCTTTCTATTTTGATATTTTCTATTCCTTTCTATTTTACTTTTGTCTTATAGGATTTTTTTTTGGAGTTAGTACAGTTGTGTGTGTATTGGTGGAGGGCAACCTATTGATGACATCCTCCCAAAGTTTTCTTCCAAAATTACTTGAAATGCTTATTAAGAAAATAAGGAAAAAGGGTCAAATATGCCCACGTACTATTATGAAACCGTCACATAAACACATCTACTAAAATAAGTGTCATAGCCATACACTTACTATTTCAAAAGAGTCATACGAGTCATATGACCTGCCTAATGACCTGGGAATCCCAGTTATATGCTTATGTGGCTTGTTTTGAACCCAATCCTTACTGACCTGGCAGTGATAATGCATATTGCAAAAGCCCCTTCCTGTTTCCCCAATCCCAAGCTGATTGGATCAAATTATTGGTCCACAAATATTGTATCTATTTTTTCTATTAAAACTCATTCTGAAGGAGAAAAAATTGAAGCTTTAGCCAAGTATGACGAAGAAGGGTCAGTACATAGTTTCCACGATTCGCAGGCATTGATAGATTTGCTGCCTGTTTCCAGTGAAGATCAGTTCGACGGGGTTGTCTCCGATGAAGCAGTAATCGTTCGATGGTATGTTTTATATGTATTGAAGCTTTAGATCATGTAAATCTGTAATATTCTTAGCTGCAAACTTAAATCTCCCCCTATCTTAAAGTTGGGATTTTTATCTTTTGTGTTTTTTAATTCATATGTGGGAGGGTATGATTGCAATCATTTGAATTGCAAAATAGTTTTCCAGTGGCTGTTCAGATGATGAAAGTGGAAGTATAGATTTTGCAGTCTGTGGTTTAGAAAACCTTTTAGGTCCGTTTGGGCGTTTGGAACTCTGAGAGTACCAGGGAAAGAATATAGGGAGGAAAATGTAGGTAAGAAGTAGATGTGGGAGAAAAATAATAACCCCCATATTACATGCAGACTCAATATGTTTGTTTTATATATCTGCTCAGAATCATTGTATTTATTTATATACACAACGTCCAACTTCATGTCCATAATCATGTTTAGTTTTCCTTTGCATATCCAAATCTAAAACATAAGTTAAGAAACTAACCTTCCTAGCAATTTATTTTCCTTTCCCTCTCATTTTCCAGGACTCAATCATAACCTTAGGCTATGATAGCTTGGTGACTTGAAATGTGTGGATTCTTTTTAACATTGTTTTTATAACTTATAAGGTATATGAGAAGTTGCAGTTCTAGCATGATGTTTTGTATTTACTCTGTCAATTAATGCCATATTGCCATTGTATTATGTAAGAATTTAAAAGTGGATTGTCATTATAAAGAAGCTGTTTGGGTTTCCAGTAAATTTTCTCCATCATTAAACTTATCTTTTACCTGGGAAAAGAAAACAAAACTGCAAAAGAATTAGAATGACACCGTGTACTATTATCATCATTTCAAGCTGCTTTTTTAGTACTTATGTTTCCTTTCATCCCAACCATTTTCTCCTTATGGCTTGAATTAGTGCCTGTTTGCTAAATTTTCTGAAAGTAAACTGTTTCATAACAGTGATTTCAGCCAAATGTTTCAAGTAAAGAACTACTTATTAATTATAATTCTTTAGTCGCCCGATAATCAAAATAGGCCGAATGAAGCTACCAAATGTTCTATTTGAGCTGAATCTTCTGTTTCATATTGTGTTGCAGTCAACGATTTTACAGTGTGGATGTTAATAATGTTCCACACAAGCTTGTTGTTCGTGCTGGCGTCACTGTAAGCATCTCCTCTTCTTTATGACCTAGTGTAGCTCTTAAATTCAGTGTTCAGGAAATCTGATTAGTGTATGGTGTTATTTACATTTCCATGTAAATCTATGGAAACCTACTTGCTGGGGAAAAACGAACAGAAAATGCCGACAACCCAGGTAATTCATTTTGGAAGGAAATTGATAGATCTTGAACAACATATATGCGATTGATACAAGACTAAAACAGCTGTGGAAGGATGGGAAGAAGCAAGGTGAGGTGATTGGTGGGCACAAAGCACATTTGGTTGTTAATGAAGTCAGGGAAATGATTGAAAGTGAAACTAATTCTTGGTGATCTCTGAAGCATGATAACTCCATAAAGCTCACATTTTGCCGTTTCAGAACTCAGAAACTTCAAATTCTCATTTCTGTGCCGCTTCCTTATCTATATTCTATAATTGTAAAGAATTGGGTAATATGTTTCCCTATTTAATTTACACTTTACAAACATTGGGTCTCCTTTTTTAATGTGGTTTTTAATGGAACTTAGTGTCTCTCATGTGGTTCATTGATGGACTCTTGTATGTAATTTTCATAGTAACACGGTCTTTGTGAAATCGAGTAGCTGGATGCCCAGAAAAAATGTTAGATTTTACTTTTGATAAAGTACTAATATAGTACTTCGTAATATGTTGATAGCTTCTAAATTTGAACATCTAAACTATTTTTCTTTAATTATGTTGCCGAAGTTTTATGAATAAATATGTATTCAATTATATGAAGAAATATGTAAAAACATGTAAAAATAAATATGTATTCAATTTATACAGATGAGCAAAACAATGAACAAAGTTCTAACAAATTCTAAACCATTCCCATACTCCTATGAGTCTTTGAATTCCCTCCACAAGATTTGTAATATCTTTTAGATTATGTTTCAATTTTCAAAGTGAGGGGAGGGAAGGATTCTTCTTGTTTGGGACTTGGGAGTTTAAAAATTGGAGGGTGATTTTGAAGGGTTCTTGTTATCCTTCATGATCCTTTAAATGCTCAATTTTTTAAGTTTCTAAATTGAGTTTTTTGGAGAATAACCGATGAAATGATAGCTTTAGTCCTATTGAAAATAAATATAAATTCAACTATATATATATAGAGTAGTCTTCTTGTCCAGCCGGCCTGACGGGAACCGCCGTCCGGCCGAGGGCATTTCGGGCACTTCTCGATGGAATTTTTTGATGAAATTTTTTGAGCATGTTCTTCATGAAGTCTAGTTTATCCATACCAAATTTCAGCTCAAAATTCGATCGGGAAGGCATTCAAATAATTTTGTGAAGTTGACTGGGCAGTTTATATGTATGAACTGCCCAGTTAACTTCATAAAATTATTTGAATGCCTTCCCGATCGAATTTTGAGCTGAAATTTGGTATGGATAAACTAGACTTCATGAAGAACATGCTCAAAAAAATTCATCAAAAAATTCCATCGGGAAGTGCCCGAAATGCCCTCGGCCGGACGGCGGTTCCCGTCAGGCCGGCTGGACATGAAAAGTCCTCTATATATATATATATATATATATATATATATATATATATATATATATATTCATCGTAGTTTAGAAATGATTTAAGTTATAATTCTTTAATAGCCTTTCTTCTCAAACAAGAAGAATTTCTTCCATTCCATGTTTTCTTCCTACGGCTAACCTTACGCAATGATGAAAATATTCAGATGTCCCAAAAATGATATGCAGTGCTCGGAAAACATTCTCCTCCCTTTCCTCCCATACTGCTATACATATCTGAACCGAACAAAATAATGAAAATTAGAATTAAATTCAGTAGGTAAGAAATCATAGTTTAGATGCAGAAATCTTTACAACTTATTACAACTCAACTTGTTTGGGTTATAGACGTTGAATACTTAATAGGATTAAAAAATTAACCTTATTTGATCATTCAATCACTTTGGTTGGTCATAGACTCGGAGTTTCATTGAATACTAAGTTGGACAATATCATTGAAAAAATCTCACGTGAAATTCCAAAGTCCAAACCATGTGGTGATGATATCATGATATTGAGGTTGTAAGCGTAATTGAAATTGTTGACTAATTTACTTTATAGCATGGTTTACAACAATTTTTTATTTAGTATCATCATAATTATTATAATACATTATAATGAATGAATGAAATGTTATTAGCCCCACCCTAATTGTAGAAGACATTGAAATATTATAAATGAATGAACAAATAAATAATTTTACAAGTAGCTATAAGTACTATAGCATGACAAGGCCGTCTCAATAAATCAAAATTGCTATACCTATACACTAGGAGGGGAGGAGATCTACTATATATATGTGTACACTAGAATGCACTTTATATACACAATCAACTATAATGCACTTCTCTTGTTTCCTTCTATACTCTTCCCCATCTAGAGACGTTAGAAGTGATTGGTTAAAAGAGGAGACTTTCTGCATCAAACTTGTTGGAGGAAGTTATTCTCTCCCAAGCCGCCACCATTTCTTCTTCTTTTTGTCAGTCTCCACTATAGGCAACTCTGCAAACACAAGAATCAAGTTTTTTGTAGCGCTCGTCCCATTTAAGTGCTAACGAAGCCAATCAATAGTAATTGGTCGATAATTAAATCCAATTACCTCCGCGTGGATATATGGAGTTGTAATGCACTTCCGCCCAAAAACTCAAGAAAATAACTACAAGAAAGAAAAAATAACTCAATTATTAATTTCACACAGACAATAACCTAAAGGTAGCTTCTGTTCTCTGAATATCTACTATCTAGTGATTGATGGAACAAATAGTATTCGCTCACTGATTTGTAAACGGAGAGAATACTAAAAATTGAAACGGAGAAAAAACTACTTTTTACTTGTCTTGACAACCTAAAATATCCTTGCCAATGAATGAGACTCTGAGATACGATGGCGAACTTACTTCTCTTTGATATTTGTGTGTGTGGATTTATCTCAATGTAGCAGGTATCCTTGAATGATGTAATGATGAATATCTTAACACCATACTGCAACCACCATTAAAGTCCCAAAATTAGTCAACTTTCCATTAAGTGCACCCAAGAAAGAGGCAAAAAACAAAAGTATTGCAATAAATAAACATTAGTGGTTAGAAATATGTATTATGAAACATCAAATATTATCCCAAAAGGATTGGAAAAGAGCTCATAAGCAACACTGACAATTCTTCAATATGAATCAATTATATGGTTATAAGATTGGTTCACAAATTCTAATCCTAGTTATGTAAGCACAATAAGTAACTAATTACAAATTTTGTACACAACCTAGAATACACCACTCAACCAAACTTGTTAACATATGTTCCAAAAAGCTTATCCTAGTTACTAAGGTCTTCTCACAATACCAATAAGCAATAAGTCAATAACCTCAACTCCACATGAACTTCTGGTAGGTTATCATATAAGTTGAAACATAAGATAACTTCAACTAAATACCACCTTAAGTCCTTAAGTTCAGGCCACATTATTCAATTACCCTAGAGATAATGAATAGGAAACTCTAATTTGAGGGATCGGCGGTACTCTGTGCTCTTGACCTGAGACACGACTACAATCTACTGGAGCTACTTTATGTGGCCATTGACCTAAAAATGGTCATTGTATAATATTTTAAATTGATTTTAACTACTAAATGCTCATAACATCTTCCTAGGATATTTAATTTAACAAATTAGATTGGATGATATTTTTGTTAAAATATAGATCAAATCAGATGAGAGAATACCGCATCTGCAGCAGCCTGCAATGTGACATGATCACCCCATTCACCACTCCTATCATCATTTCAGTAAGAAAAAGAGTAAATTGTTAGTAGTTTAGTATTGCATGAAAAGCAAATCACCAAACAACGAGATTGGCAAATTCTGAATACTTGCTCATTTTCTTTAGGTATTCGTCATAATCCATAGGAACATAACCCTTGTACAACTCCGGGTGGGATTTGAGCTAGAAAATAACACACAAATACAATAGAAAAGGAAAATAAAATGGAAAATATTATTAATCTAATTGGACAAATGGTCACAGATTGAAGCAAGGAAGATTTACACTGAAATAATGAATGTCTTGAGCATATTCAATATTACCTGTTTAACAACCTGCTCCCTTGCAAACTTGTGATGCTCACTAGTACGATATATTTGGTCTGAAAGGGACCGGAACTAAAAAGGCACAAGGAAACTATTAATACAATGTAAAGCTAAAGTCATATCACTTAAGATATAGCTTCAACGTTCAGCCAACATGGTTATGGAAGTCATATCACTTCCTAATGATGCGGTTTGAGGTGAAAACAGAGAATGGCTAAAGTTACACATGATGTTATAATCAACCTAAATTCAGAAAAGCTTTTGGCTCCAACACTAAAACACTTCTAAAAATATAAATATGGGATGAAGCTAACCTGGCAGTTGCCATCTCCTGAAACTTTTAACTCAACGAGCTCATATAGTTCAAGCCTGATTGTGGAAAAAGAAAGAAGCCATTGTAGACAGAGACAGATAATAGAGTATAAATGAAAATCTTGGGAAAAACCCTAGAAGGGTTTTCCCCCATAAACTATTAAATGGGTTGTACACCTCACTACTTTATTTCAAAATACTGTTATCCAAATCATATAACTCCAAATTAATCTTCTAACTCCGTATTACTACCTCCGTCCCACTAACACTGGGACATGATGAGGTGACACGGTTAATAAAAAATGAATTTCTGGGGTTGATATTGAATTGGTGAAGTAAGAATAAAATAAGAATCATTTAGAGCCACACAAACTTTACCAAATTTGGTATGGGACAATCTTAGTGGGACTTCCCGAAAAGGAAATATGAGACAATTTTAGCGGGACGGAGGGAATATTAAAATTTGGAATTCTCATGCCAAGGAACTCACATAGTTCAAAGAAATATACCCCTAATTGGAATATATTCCTTGAGTTGAGGGGGTCTAGAAAAAAATAAGGGCAATGACAAATATAACTACCTCCAATCATTATTATGTGATGTTTTAAAATACAGCACAAGAACTAATGGTCCATTTGGTTCAAGGTGATCTCAGTTCGTCCAAGTTTAATGTGGACTTCACCCTGTTGGGGTTAACCTTAGAAAAACTTGAAACCCCAATTCTAGAGAGCCTCAGAATTGTGGTATTTCGAGGTTGAGTTCTATATGCAAATAAAATGAGTTGGAAGACTTCCATCCGAACAACACTTTACACTCAGAAGGATACCTATGGAATTATCCGAACTGCGTTATTTTTACATGCACCTTGGTTCACCTAGGAACACCCAGTTTTTACTGAACCCGGGTTCACGAGTTGTACTTAAGTTCACCCAAACAAAATGGAGCCTAAGGAGGACTTAGTTTTTCAGTTAGAGTTACGACCTCCCTTTCGTACGCCTTGTGAGGATAAAAAGTTCATAAACATAATCAATGTATCTATTGAAGGTGTCAATTCATTAATGCAAAACAGGTTTTAGCGACTTGGGTATCAAATAATTAAACTAAAAGTTTCACTCTAATTATTGTATGGAATGTAGAACATCAAACTCAAAAACATTAAATTAGGAGATAAAAGACA